GTTGACAGCTAGGCAGCAGCTGACCTGTATTAGGCCTACTGGACTGTGTCAAATGTGTCAGCTCTAATCGCACACAGTTAACCTTAAGCATCGCCAATACAGTTATAACAGTATCATGTACTGGTAGCTGGTAACGGTACCTAGAAAAATAGAGCACATCTCAAGGTCCTTATTAACTCTTTCTCTCCGTAATTATTTTCCCACATTTTGAAGGAATTCTTCATTTGGCTCATTACTATTTCACTACCCTGTTATGATTGGGCTTCAATAGCTTTGTTATTTGTTATCAGAAAATGTATTTGGTATAGGCCTAGAATTAAAGGGAAATGCATGCTCCTTTTATATAATTCAAAGTCAAGTTTAAAAAAGTAAACATGCTTTTATTTAATGAGGTAAAAATCAATGATGGTATCGTCGATTAGGAGAGAGAGTTAAACATATGTGTAACATGTATGGGTGCCTAGGGCGTGGTCCCTACGTCCTCAAAGGGACACCAGACAAAATCTAAGAATACCGGTAAATTATCTTATATCAATAGGATAAGACTTGCAGAAAAAGACGTGACAAAATCTTATGTAGAAAGACCGACACCTTAAAAGAAGCCAAAATAAACCATTTATAAAGTATGTCAAAGACATCATTAATAAAACATTAAGTGAAATAAGATACCTATCACGTATGGAAAACACAAGAATTGGATTCTTTCACCTCACTATCACCTATCTTTTATTCTGGTGGACAGTTGGGGCACCACACACGATTTGTTGGATTTGAAATGAATTAATTTCAAAACTTCGCTGCAAAACAGCAGTAAAGAGAAGCAAACAGTTGGAAGGAATTCGTTTAAGGAAAACGCCATGCAAACATTTTTTTAAAATAAAAAACCAAATCAAAGATGAAATGAATATTTCCTCCAACAGCTCAAAACAGTTCGACTACAAAGCCAGTCTTGTATTGTTAAGCAGAAAGAAATCTGTAAGCTTGAGAGATATTATGTTAACACTCACATCCAGCTCTAAAATGTTAAGATGTGATGCTCAAACTTTTAAAACTCTTAACTCCTTACATTGCTAATTTGTCATGATATTTTCATGATTTACTTGAACAAGAGTGCAGCTGGAAAGTATGGATAGATGGATGACTGCCTGGGCGTGCGTTTTGCTCGATGGTCCCGGATTCAAACCCAGCCCGCTCCCATCCCCCGTCATACTGCTGAAGGTTTGGACTAAGAGGTAATTATCTCCAACTCTGAAGGAACAATCGAAACATGTAAAACATTTTAGGGTTTGGCGTTAGGGTTACTTCTCATGTGTCAAGTAGTAAATGAAGCTTTTAGATTATCCCCAGCTCTGGAGTTTGCAAAAAGTTGAACTGACTCTTTTCATGCAAAGGAATAATCCTCTTTCAAATGTACACTATCAAGGCTTCGTCTCTGTCACCAAGAAGAACTCGTTGGGTCATCAATTAAGAATTCAAAGAGTTGACAAGATTCTAATGTTTGAACTTCAATCATTGTTTATTCTTTTTTTAATGTGTTCATAGATATAAAACATTTGAATTCAACGTTATAGAACAACCAATCATCCCGCAAAATATACAACTTTTAGAAATTTATTTCATGACCACACTTGATACATGCCATAGTGACAATTTTGTAGTGAACCCCAGACTGAGAAGTTTAGAGGGAAAAGCTTCAGGACAGAAGTTTTTAGTTATTGAAAAAATTATTCCTCACAATAGTGTCATAAATTGGGTGCAGTTCTAGTCACATTAAATCAATACAGTTGATGCATATTTCTATCAAGTAACATATTTTGTAAAAACTTTCTAAAAACAGAAGTTAGCAATATGCTAATGTTAGTGCTCAAAATTTTGTTTGCCGTTTTATAAGTGCAGATAATTTGGGAAATTAAACAAAAACATTCTGTCACTAAAAGTGAGCTAGACTATCCAGTATTACTTTTTATTAAAACTAGAACTAAACCATTTAAATACCGGTACAACCTTTTCTTTTAAATGACAACAATTCAATTTTCCACTATTTAGAAAAAATATCCACACTTATAAAAAATGTATATGAAATATTTAAGAATGTATTTGTAACAATGGCTGTTACTAACAAAACTGACAAATTGATGTTTACTAAGATTTTAAAGAAATGTCTGTAATGCATAAGATTTCTGTAATTTAAATTCTAGCTCTGGGTAAATAAAGTAAACATTTCATCTTGCTAATGAGTTAAAGCTTATTTTTAATTAAACTTTCAGAAACTATCTAGATCTAGCTTTTGATAATTTGATTTTTTTTTTTCTTCAAACAAAAGAGTTCTCTTTCTTTTGGATTTCATTTAAATGCTGACTTCTCAAGGCAAGTTGTATATTTATAGAGAGTAGTAAATAAGTAGATAAGAAAGAAATAGGAAAGGGGGGGGGGGGACAAACTTAGGAATAGGATTATTGCCAGCACAAGAGAATAATAGATCAATCATCCACAATTTTTAACAGTTTATAACATACAAGTCTATGAGGGAGAGAAATAGTGGAACATGACATACAAGTCTATGAGAGAGAGAAATAGCAGAATATAACAAACGTATATGACAGAGAAATAGCAGAATATAACATACAAGTCTATGACAGAGAGAAACAGTGAAAGAGTGGAATATAAAATACAGGTCTATGAGAGAGAGAAATAGTGGAATGTACCAACAAGCAGTAGTGAAATACAGTCAGAAATGTAGGAACAAAAAAAAGCCTTATTTTGGCTGAGATTTAAAACAAAATCATCCAAAAGAAATCATAATTTAGGGCCACTTCAATCTTCATTTTACAATAGTACTTCAAACAAACCAAAACAACCCCTCAAATAACTGTAATGATGAATTTTTACACAATGTCTAGTGTATGTAGGAAAACATTTCTCATGGATTATTATGCTAATGAAAAAATATCAAAATGACCAACCAATAATAAAGCAAGAAAAACCACGTCAATAAACAAAATTTTTAGCGGTCGCAGTTTTCTCAAGTGATGGCATGACTTCCTCAACATTGCTCTTGAGTTCGGTGTACTTCACACCTTTTGATCGCTGGCGTCTCTGGTGAGCGCTGCGTCCCTCGATGACAAAGGCCATAATCTGAAAACATAATAGTTAAAATAATTTTAGCAAATTTTTGATTCAGCAAGATAGGTCAATTAACCAGACCAGTGACAAGTTATAACAGGTAAAAGAATTATAATTTCATAGATTCGTGTTTTACTGGCATTGTTTTTTTTGCCATCCTATGTGTAAATGTTAAATAAAGTTCCCTTTTCAGGCCTTGCAATCTATAGGGCAGATAATGTCATGGTGGAGAATAGTAATAAAATCTCTCCTCTATCCGAAGCTCAAATTCCTAATCCTCACTGGAATTAAAACTCAATACCCAGCAGTTAGCTCACCATGCCAACACTAATAATAAGCAACTGCCTAAAAACATTCTGTATATTTTTGAAATCTTCAATAAATTACAAGGTGCAAAAAAAATTGCTTGGCACCAAATGACAATATAAATACAATAAAAGACGAGAAATATTTGGTTCATTTAATTTGAAATATCTCTTCAATCTTATAAATATATTAGAAATTCTGTTACTATCTTTTCACAAGGTCACTTCTAAAAGTCTTCATATTTGGGTTAGTAATAGAAAAAAGAACAAGCAAAATAAAAAAAAAAAAACTTTTTAAAAACAAAATATTAAGTGTATCAATTAGTTTGGATTAGTCATGGAATTGAATCAGTAATGAGCCTCAGACTACTATCTGTAAAGGGGACTAATTTGGCTTATACCACCATTTCAGTCGAGTACTATTTCTTTTCCTTAGAAAGGGGAATAATTCAGCTTATACCACCATTTCAGTTCAGTACTCTTTCTTTCCCTCATTTTACATGTGAGTTCAATGACAATAGAAGAAATTATTATGCAGAAGAATAGAACAATATAAGAAATAGCCTAGCCTTAACCTCCAGCAGGATGGTAGCTGCTGGTAGAAAGCAGAGTTAAAACCTAGAACCATTGGGATGAAAGTCCAGAGAACTAATACTATATGATTACAGACCAGGCTTGCTTTAATATGTTTGAGACAATGAGTGAAATGAAATAGATAAAAAAAAAAATTGTCCATCTAGTAAACATTCAGTAACTAATCCTACAGTCACATTTAAAGAGCTAAACAGTCAAGATTCAGCAACAAATCCTACTGTTACATTTAAAGAGCTCAACCGTCAAGATTCAGCAACAAATCCTACTGTTACATTTAAAGAGTTCAACAGTCAATACTGCAGGACACACATTGTAGAGCAGAGGGAAAGCTACTGCTGAAGACAGACAATGATAGCAAAAGGAGAGCTTTAAATGATCTCCAGCAGACAATAACTTTGTCTGCATTTGGTATGGCAAATTATGAAGGTCACAGGTAGGTCTGAGTAGCTGTGGGAAATACTACACCATCTTTAAACTGAAAGTCAAGCTTTTTATAATATCCTTACTGCCTAGAGTTTCTACATCACTAACCTATAAATGTTGGCCTGATACTCAGGTATTTTAGACAGTATTAAATCCATAGTACATTGGTGAAAACTAAATTATTTATTTTTAAAATCTACCAACCTTTTGTTTATTATGGAAGATAATATAACCAGCAACACAGATGATGACTGCAGACAGGAAGTAGGCAATGAAATGTCCAGAACTGTAGCTTTCATCTTCGTCATCAACACTGAGGCCACTTTGATTTAGCTTCTCTTTTCTTGAACTCTCATCAGCTTGGCCCTTTGGTTTCTTGCCTGTCACACCAAGATCATCTGAGTCATCTGTATCTAAATTCTCTAAAGGTTCTTGGTTTGAATTATTAGAATCCCCATCTGTATTTGTGCCTTGTTCAGTTCCTGTATGTTTCTCTGTTCCTTCTGTTTGAGCATTTTGAGTATTTGTTTTGTCTTGCTTTGGTTCTTGGGCAGTTTTAGATTCCTCTGTTTGTTTCTCTTTTCTTGAACTGTCATCAGCTTGGCCCTTTGGTTTCTTGCCTGTCACACCAAGATCATCTGAGTCAGCTGTATCTAAATTCTCTAAAGGTTCTTGGTTTGAATTATCAGAATCCCCATCTGTATTTGTGCCTTGTTCAGTTCCTGTATGTTTCTCTGTTCCTTCTGTTTGAGCATTTTGAGTATTTGTTTTGTCTTGCTTTGGTTCTTGGGCAGTTTTAGATTCCTCTGTTTGTTTCTCATTTTCAACTCTCTCTGTTCCTTTTGTTTGAGTATTTGTTTTGTCTTGCTTTGGTTCTTGGGCAGTTTTAGATTCTTCTATTTTTTTATCATTTTCAAATTTTCCAGTAGTTTTCTCATTGTTTGTTGTAATGGAACCAGCTTTGGATGTGTCTGCAGCTGTTGTTGACTTATTCTGGGCTTCATTAGAAGTTGCCATTTTGGTTGTAAGTGACAAGGTTGAAGTTAACTTTCTGTTTGCAGTGGTCTGTGGTGTAGTAGTTGTAGTAGCAACAGGGGTGGCTGAAAGTGGTAATTCTTTTGTGACCTGTGGTGTCTTATCCTGTCCCTGCAAACCTGATATGATAAACATGAAGGGAGATTAACAAAGTATTCAATAACATATTGTGATGTAATCTAGATGCCCTATAACATATTGTGATGTAATCTAGATGCCCTATAACATATTGTGATGTAATCTAGATGCCCTATAACATATTGTGATGTAATCTAGATGCCCTATAACATATTGTCATGTAATCTAGATGCCCTAGTGGTATCTGAATTGAGGGCCTCAACTTACAATATCAGAAAAAAGCATGGCATTTTTATTTTATCATGATCATCAGTCTACTCAGTTCAAATGGGGAAAGTAAAGGCAGAAACATATACCAGCCATTTGATGGGGAAAGTATAGGTAGTATCATATACCAGCCATTTGATGGGGAAAGTATAGGTAGTATCATCTGATTAGGAAAATAAAGGCAGTATCATATAGGGATATGTGGGATGCATGGTCGAGAGACTATGTATGCTTGAACTTGGCTACCTATGAAGTAGGTATCATATACCAGCTATCTGATGAGGAAAATAAAGGCAGTATCATATACCAGCCATCTGATGAGGAAAATAAAGGCAGTATCATATAGGGATACGTGGGATGCATGGTTAAGAGACTATGTATGCTTGAACTTGGCTACCTATGAAGAGGGCTCGAGGTTCGACACACAACACAAAGAGTTTTGCTTACTGAGCGCCTAAGGGAGCATGGAAAAACCATCTACCAGATACCCCTCCCCACCACTGGTCCACAAATGGGATTGGACCATAGCACCCTGAGCATGAATGTAGTGCTATATAAAGGCTACAATTTATTTATTTAATCACCAAATATTTAATGAGGCAAGTAAAGGCAGACACATATACTAGATATGTGATGGGGAAAGTAAAAGCAGTTAATCATATAGGACATTTTTACATCTAAAATACTTAATAAACATTTAAATTGGTTATTTTCTAATTTATATGTACATTTTTATACACAAGTCTAGACCTTAAATAACTTCCCCTTACTAAAACAGTGCCTTCTAGCAGACATTAACAGATGCAGACAGTAAGCTCATTCATTTTTAATGAAATAATATTCAATACCTTGGGATGAAGACTGTTGACAGTATTTTGGTTCTTGATAACTGCACAAAGCAAGAACCAGTAATGAGCATAGATTCATTGTATCCTTGCACTGAGCCTCACAATAACTAGAATTAGCCATGTAACTTGCATATTTTAAGATGAAAAGATTCTTTTCTTTGGCCAGACTGCAAATAGGTTGAACATTGTTGACTTGGTCTACAATAGCTGACCCAATTAAAGGCCGGTAATGATTTATCAATGCTGTATTATTTCCAATAGCTTTACAAACTTGGATAGTAAAATTTACAAAAATGTCGCACACTTCGTTTCTAGGTTTTTCAAAGCATGGTTTTAGAAAAGGGTGGTCCTTTGGCTCAGTCTTGTTTAAAGAAAGTGTTTCAAAAGGCAAAATACATTGTTTGAGTTTCCAAAATTGAGTCACTTGTTTTAAACTATATTTGGTCTCCGCAGTGGACAGAAGTATAATAACACAGAGGATGATCTTTACTAGCATTGTGATGATTGTTCTTCAAACCTATTGAAAGAAAGAGAAACAACAAATACAAATTACATATAGGCCTACAGCAATGGATGTGATTTTAAAATGAGTAGATGCCAAGTTGGCTCTGATGTAAGGAAAGGGGAATGAGGTGGTTTCTATAGCATTTTGCAGGGTATAAGAGGGAGTATTAGAATTACATTAACAGGAAGTAGTTAAAGACATACATATAGATTTAATTCTTTCCTGCCTAAACCTCTCTTTGTATTTATGATATAGCATAGAAAAAAAACTAAAGAAGTCACAATAATACTTTCTAGTCTTTGTATACAAGAAATAAAAAAACTTTTTTTTAACTATGGGCTTATCTTATCTTATGTAATACAGACGTTACTTCAGAAAAGAAGATGATTACGTCCTACGCGTCATGCATATTAACCAATGACTTAAATTCTGCCAAGTCACTGGTTTTTCTGGCTAGCTCAGGCAACCCATTCCATGCTCTAATAGCACTAAGGAAGAAGGAGCATTTGTACAAATTTGTCCTAGCATAGGGGACGAGGAATGTGCCTTTATCTTTGTGTCTTTCAGAGTATTTTATTAAGTTTTGTTTTTGTATTTGAAGATTATGGTTCAGTGTTTTATGTATAATTGTTACTTTACTTTTGAGTCTTCTGTCCTGAAGGCTTTCTAAATTTAGTGATTTTACTAATGGTGTTACTCTAGTCAAATGTGAATATTCGTTTGTTATGAATCTCACTGCTCTATTTTGTGTTTGTTCCAGTTTCTTAATGTTTTCTTGAGTTGAGGGGTCCCAAACAGTGGATGCATATTCTATTATTGGCCTAACCAAGGTTAAATAACATTTTAGTTTTATGTTCTTATTTGATTTATAGAAATTTCTTTTAATAAACTCTAATGCTTTGTTAGATTTTTTTGTAGTTTCATCAATATGTGGATTCCATGAAAGTTTTTCATTTATTATAACACCTAGGTATTTTGCGTTTTTAGTCTGTGTTACTGGTTTGCCATGAATAAGATAAGTGGAATTAATTTGTTTTAGTTTTTTTGTTACTCTTAACAACTGACATTTTTCTGGGTGGAAAGACATGCTCCAATTTGATTCCCATTTCTGTAATTCATCTAATTCTCTTTGTAAAATATCTGTGTCTTGTGTTGTTTTTATTGTTCTATATATTATGCAATCATCTGCAAATAATCTGACTTTTGTTCCTGAACTAATGCAATTTGGTAAATCATTTATGTAAATTAAAAATAGTAGTGGACCCAAGACTGTTCCTTGAGGTACACCTGAGTTTACTGTTATTGGTGTTGATTTAGAGCCATTTATTATTACAGTTTGTTCTCTCCCTATCAGAAAATCTTTAATCCACTGATGCAGTGGACCATTAATGCCGAAATATTTTAATTTTTTAAGCAAACTATGGTGGTGAACTTTGTCAAAAGCCTTTGAAAAATCTAGTAAAATAGCATCTATTTGTTCACTATTATCTAAACCTTTTGAAAAATCATCAATTAGTCCTATTAGTTGTGTTTCACATGATCTATATTTCCTAAAGCCATGTTGGTATGGGGTGATAACATTATGTTTGTCTAAGTGGTTTATGATGTTGCTACATATTATGTGTTCTAGGATTTTACATGTGATGCTGGTAAGTGATACTGGTCTGTAGTTTCCTGGATCAGATTTTTCTCCTTTTTTAAATAGGGGGGTGACATTAGCTTCTTTCCAGTCCTTTGGTACTCTGCCCTGGTTAAGCGATGCCTGAAAGAGTATTTTGAACACTGGGGCTAGCTCATTGCTTAGTTCTTTGAGTAATCTAGCTGGAATACCATCAGGTCCAGATGCTTTATTTGGTTTGGTGTTGGCTTTACAAAGTCTGCATCATGAATCAGATTAATGATGTCTAATGAATTATATTATGGATTATAAAGTGACTGCTAAATAGAAATACTCAAACAATAAAATATATCAGTCTAGAAAGTGCCACCGCATAGTTTCCGGAACCATAAATGATGCTAGGATATATTAAAGAGGAGAAATGAAGAATTAGGTCAGTTATTAAGTGTGCTCCTGGTGTCAAGATTTTTATGTCAATTGAATAAATGGAATTTAATATAATTAATCAGTGTTTTCAAACAAACTTCTTTGCACTTTCAAAAGACATATTGTTTTCTGTAATTAAATTACAACATCACCAGAGTTCCAGTACATTTATTATTTAAGTGGGAATGTTTAAGTCCTATTCATTGTTATTCCTGTGGAGGTGACAATATGAATAAATATTGTTGCTCAGTAATTATTACCGTATTCTTTTTGTTGGTGAAAATCTGGAGATGCAATATTGCATTCAAAGATTGTGAAAATCAGAAGAAAGCATGAAGTCCCAAACCCCACCCTTTCCATGTCCACTAGGCATACTAGAAGAGTGGAGATGCTCTAAAAAAAAAAAAAGGAGAGAGAGGAGAGCAGGAGACAAACAATTATCTATTGATCAGGTAGTGGCACAAAAACGGCTAAGGTGTAACAAATGCACACACTGAGCTAGTGGAGTTGCATTACAGGGAAAAAAATACCCCAGTAGCAATAATAAGGTAGGGTGTAGAGAAGACTACCTCTAGTGACTCCTCCTCTTCTCCCCCGCACCAGACACAATTTTTCCCCTAGTGCGACCAACTAGGCTAGGCCCAACAGGTAAAACTGTAGTGACCTTGGTGTGATGTGATTACAAGCTGAGGATGAGCATCTTGGAGAGTGGGAAAAGTGACAACGGCTTGTGTCCTTGATTTCAAATTTGAAAATAATAACATGTTTTAGATAAGTTTCCTTTGATGTGTCTGATAAATCTCCAAAAGGGCTGATAACTTTTACAGAAAAAAAAATCATTGCAAAAACTTTAACGCATTACCATACAGACCCTACCCCTTTTTTAACTACGATCGAATTTTAAATATGAATAGTGATACATTACAAAAAAGATATTTTCATTGACAAAAGAATGATAAATTCAATTTTTTATATATCAGACTATTACGGAGCTAAAAATGTTGAAATGTCAAAAATGTCCGGACTTGGATAAGCATGGCTGATAA